AAAAAATATTTTGGAAATAAACAAAAAAAAAATAGGATTTCGATATTTATTATATTTATGTGGCAACCCTGTTGCGAAATCCACTGGAATGGATGGTACATATCTTTCGATCGTATATGTACTGTGTATACATAAAAAAAAAATGTTGATTGAAATTAACAAAATAAAAATGTGTATTACATAGAAACGTGGCAACCCTGATGGAAAATATTTTGTGACCAGAGTTCTTAACAATACCTTTCATTGGATAACCATATTGCGATGTTTTAGATAAATTGTGTAGAATCGAAAATAAGTGGCAACCTTACACTATTATCCTAAGAGATAACAATTTGTATATAGGGAAAGCATTTTTTAAGAACCTTCTCTTGGTCATCATAAATAGTAATATTTTACCTTTTGTTTAACAAAAAATTAAATTAATATGCGATTAAAATAGATGGCAACCCTATTAAAAATATTTTTAATTATGGATCATTAAAATACCTTCCATTTGATACCCATATTATGATGTTTTAATTAATTCGTAACAAATTTCGAATAGGTGGCAACCTCATACGAGTCTTCTCGGGGATAATGCCTATTCAGATAACCTTAAAATCCAAAACATTATCGGTGTACAAAATTTCATCGAAATCGTTAGAGCCGTTGGATATATATATATATATATATATATATTTATATATATATATACAAGAATTGCTCGTTTAATATAACAAGATGTACAAACAATTTTTTCTAATTTTCCTGCAATTCAGCGCTTGAATCTGTTTAGGATAGAACGTTTTCAAACATCATTTGTCCACAAAATTTTTAAACGTAAATTTCGTACAAACGTAATTAATAGGTATAAAAAAATATGTACATACAAATATACCTATATATGGATATGTGCATATGTATATGCACATATGAATGACTTCATTTAACCCACATTATATGCAATATTGACCACATAAATTTAATCTAACATGAATCTATTTACATATGTATGTTGCTAAAAGCGTTGACGCGAAATAGACTTTGTGGCTGCCAACTACTTGGTAAATTGGCGTAACTCCAAGTAGTTCGCCAAGCGCCAAGTGTACGAGTATGTAAAAGTACCACTTACTACTCAACTACTTCTACTACACAGCCGCAATTAATGTGTCATATGTGCGATATATGTATGTATGTATATGTGCCTTAACTTATTTACTTATGATGTTGCTCATGTTGAGCATGACCACAGACTTTCATGTGTGACAAAAATCAATTGAAAAAATATGTAAATTGAAATAAAGGTGTTAACAATGATGATATTGCATATAACACGAAATATCGTTTGACAGTCGAATTAATCACTTTATCTGGTTTAATATACATACATTTGTATGTTGATTAATATGCTGGCAAGTTTAGTTGAGATGCCAAAAGATTTTGTCCCAGATAGCACAAGTAAAAAGGTGGTCCGCGTATTTATGATTAAAAAAGTCGTATATGTAAAAACATTCCTAAGTTTGTGCGAAAGGAAGTTAATAGAAAATCTACGGAACCATAAGATTTTGCGTCACTCACGTTTAAATTAATTTTATTTATGTAATTTTTTATTTTTTTTTTAAACTTGGGCCATTGGGAATGATTTCTTCGCTAACCTCCAGTTGACAGCTGCGGCAAGCTCTATTATAGAGGAGCTCCAATTTCTCTGAATATTTGCCTATGGACCAGTGGCCTGTAATGATTGCTAGATTCCTAAATATGTACTTCTGCCCTTGATCTATTAAGCAGGTCCAGTGTATTCGTCCTGTTATAATTAGGTAAGAGTTCCCAGCTATTTTGCAAGTCTGCATGTCCGACCACCTCGTCCTTGGTAGTCCAAGAAAATGCAAATTAATTTATTTTTGAACGAACTTAGAGAAATGTGCTTCATGAAAATTTCAATTTGTTATTTTTCGCCAATCGCCATCCTTGGAAAATCTGCAG